TAATAGTCGGTTTATGATTTGGCTTACATAATACAATCAAAAACAGTGTGATAAACGACACGAAGTTTCCCGCGATTCTTTTCCATTTGAAGGCTGATTGTCACTCTACTCGTTTATATTCTGTTATTGATTGTATTATGTAAGCCAAATCATAAACCGACTATTAGAGTATATCACCAGTTAGGTGCCCTCTTCTTCAACGGAAGTTACAGCGTCTCTGGAGTAAATACACAAGGTTCTCGCCCTCTCTGCGACAGCCCAACAGATGCCGTATCTTCTGTTGAAGACGTTGGCAGCTAACCGGGGATAACGCTGTCTTTGTCACTTATTAGTGCGTCAGATTGCATCATCTTGAAGAACGTTTCCATCTTGCTTTTTTCGCTTGGTTACACAAAGGCTAGAGTGCACCCTCAAACAAGGACTACTTTGGACTGAGCGACGGAGAAGTAGAGCAACCTACGACTTATGTAGCTATGAACTTCTTTCAATGAATCCCTACTCAGAGCGTTCTTCCATTACTGTTAGCTATTCTACACCTTGTGCAGTTTGCCTCCCCAACCCTCTAGTTCACCTTCATCCCCATTCTTCACACTTTTATTTCCATTGGAACTTTACACAACCGTACTAATAATAGTACCGTAGATAGAAACTGCGTTGCTCTTTTTTTGCAGTCCTACTTCGATTGCCGTCCAAGTCTCACCGAATCTTCCAGCACTTGGAGCTATTATTCATTCTCGATGTCCCTTTGAACTATCCACAACAAGTATACGCTGATGCGTATAAAATAACAGGCGTGTTTAGCTCGTACGGCCGAAAACCCAACCATAGGTGTGAGGTGTACCCAAAAGGCTCACTTTTAAGTCGACTGATAACGTGGTAAGGTCGTCGAAGTAACCGCCTGAAGGTTTTGAGTTCAAACTCCGCCACTGCCGGTCATTTTCCCATTATTTTTTATCTTCCCAGGCAGCTTCTGTATAGCCGCGACCCCTTTCCTGAAAGTTCATTGTACATTTCTATAATCAATAAACAAAAAAGGATGTAAAACAAAAAATATCATTCTGAGGGCAATGAGGCTGAGGCATCTGGTCTATCTGGTATCGGCTTCGTTGTCAGTGAGCAAGCTAGAGCTACACTACTGCTTTGGGTCCCAGTGGACAGTCTGTTATGCATAATTAGACTTAGGGACTAGTAGAAGGTAACCATCCATCGCCCTGATCGGTGAAACTTGTCTGTCCTATCAGCGTACGCTCCCACGGGCTGTCAATGGTACATTTCACCAAAAGCTACAACACTTTCCATAAAGAGAGTCTGGCGGAAATCATGACTTTAGAAGGAGACAAATGTTAAAGTAGATCGGCTATCTTTGAGTGAGGTCCATATAGGAGGTCCTTTAGGTCTGTCACTCAAAAGACGGGAGTGGCTGTTGGCTCGATGTTCTGACCATCTCCTATTCACACGCAAAAATCTCCGCTAGGCACCCAGGTGTCCGCGACCCTCTAGTCGGCAACAGACGCAGATCGATCAGCTCACCATGAGCCAAAAATGACGGGGCTGTGTACGAGACTGCCGTTCCTACTGAAGTACCCCCGTCGAACCCAATCACATTAGTCAGCAACAAGCCGTCCAGAGGCTTCGGTGGGTATTCTAACCACTCGTCGGCAAAGAGTAGACAGATTGGCTGTCTCAGCCAGCTTGCCTGTCCTTCAAACCGCGCCAGCTGAAGACGATAACCGAACCCACATAATAACACGAACACTGGTCGCTCATCAAGAATGCGCTGTGTTATGGTAGTCCAGTTTGTTGTGGCCTGACACTCCGGATTTCCACTGAGTCTCTGTGGCTTCTTGACGCACACCGATCAATCCCGACCGGCAGTGGGCATACTGAAATACTAGTAAAGTGGTGTAAAATCAACGTAAGCCTACGCAGAGACCTCGAGATCTGGTGGTCTGACGAAAAGGTGTGTTCAAATCATATCAACTTGGTCCTTCTTGATGATATTTTGCATTTCCCAAGACAGGTTTTGGTTGACCGCAGCCACCTTACTGAAAAAATCAACTCCAATCCACAAACAGCGCATTTCTCTAATAATAACGTCGCAACAGATTTTCTTCCATGGTCTTTGGAAGTTGATATCCCAAACACCATACGTTTCATGGGAACGAATTGAATTGAAAACAAAATGCTTGCCAGTACAATCCTGGATTTAAAAAACTCGAATACTCGATCAACACTCCAAATCGCTCTTACTTCATGTTCAATGCATATCTGAACCAGCTTACGGGTACCATGCACTATTGAAACCATTTTAGCGTGTCCCTATTCTCAGAAAAGCGAAAAGGATCTCGGGAAACACTGAATAATTTCACTACTTTTGGTTGCGAGTTCTATTAACGGTTTCCTTTTTATTTTGCAATAAAAAGCAATTTACTAAAAGGAATCCAGTAAACAGACCTCTCTCTGTTATTGTCCACTGATCGATTCATCATACCCAATACCGCTTACTTTGTTTTTTCCGGAATGCGCCTCCAACCCTTACTCAACTACTTACTTGTGGAGCGATAGTCTCATTCAGTTCTCGTTCAGATTTGTGCATGTTGCGACTATTTACAAGCGTGACTTTTTGACAATAGATCCTTCATTTTACTTTTATTTAACATATGATAATACTGTTTTGAGAAACATGGAGGCGGCAGATCAAAAAGCTGCCAGACAGCATAGTGTTGAAAGTCAGGTGGTGGTGATAAGGGCGTCGGAACAGATGTTCTCTGGGACTATAATTTGCTTACCACCACCCCTTACCAGACAAAATCACGCCATTAGATCTCGCCGCTGACTGTCCGCAACTGTTCAGCCAGTGAAACAGTCATCTATCCACGGTTAAGGACTTCATTGGCTGTTTTTGTTTCCTTGGCCAGACCGCTTTAGTCTTAGACCTCCGGGATAAACCAGTGTATTTTGTCGATTGAATAAACCTGAACAACAATTTCTGTTTCCTCAAGAAATGTGTGTCCAATCGCACCGTTGTGGGATGACAATTAAAAGACCTCCAACCACGTTGACCTACAAATCGCTCGAAATGATCGGCAACCTGAGCTTTATGTTTAGAAACACCGAAGCACAAGGCTTCAGTAGGAGAAAACGAGTATCGAGCCGACCAACAGCTAAGCTGCCTATGAGAAACATTTATCATTTATGTAAATGGATTTGGTATTCCTTTTCCCATATCCGTCCTCCGTTCCTGTCGACAGAACACAACAACATCCCCCTGAATGACCTAGAGGATAAAAAAAAATCGGTTTGTGCTATTCCATCTAGTTTCGATATGTAAACTCAACCTATGCAGCCTATTGCGAAGATCCATGGTTGCGTTTGCTACTCACAACTTCTTAGTTCCGTTCTCAAGCTGCGATCAGTCTGATACATATATTCTTCTGATGACTCCTAAAAATCTAGTTTTAACGAATGTTTGGTGCTTCTCGATGGTATACGTGACATTTTAAGCTTTGCTTTGCCAATTGATTTATCCACTGTTTAGTGGACAATCACGTTTGTTTAACGCAATACAACTCCTCATTCACGGATTCAGAATCGTAATTTCTTGTATTCTTTTCTTTTATGCAGTTTTGTGCTCGTGTATTCTAGTTAATGCCCTTCACAAGTTTTCACATTATGTTTTTTTCTTTTGATTTCAGATATCTTTATTGTGGATATTTTCTTACTTAGTCATCGTTCTGTATGGATTCATCCTTATTTTTTGCACAGCTGCTGGACTTCTGTATGTTACTGAGTTAGTAGAAGAACATACTGTGCTCACAGGTAAAATTATTCGTTATCTGATCGGTTTGGAGCTGGCGTTACATATACTTCTCCTATTCACTGACAGCGTTACCTACCTGACGGTAGCTGTTGGCTTTGTGGCTCATTTGTTTTATGCTTCTCTGCTTAAACACTTCCCTGCCTTTCATTTCGGTTCGGTTCCTTTCTTGGGAAGCCTTGTTCTTTTTGTCATGCATCATCTAGTCGCATTCAGTATGTTCAGTGGCACATTTCACCCCTTCAGTGAAATGCTGGCCTATTTCACGTTCTTTTGTTGGACTGTGCCATTCATGTACCTGGTTTCATTGTCCGCAAACGATTGGGTTCTTCCACAGACCATAGACTCACACTACCGTCCAGAAATGGAGCCGTTACTATCTGCATCTAATCAGGATGTGGTCTCAGCCTACTTGAAGAAAAAACGACGCAGTCTATATTCTGTACTGTCATATATTCGCGAATCGTTGCCATTGTTCAAACCGAAGAAAGGATTCTGAATTCATCCTCGTCATCCCACCTTTTACCTGTCTAATCCCCAAATCTAGTTGCTGTCATGAGTTGTCTGCTTACACATACAGACAGTTCTTTGTTTCTGGCGTTTTCGCGCGCGATGGGTTTTGTCGTGGAACCAGCTTTTCACCAGTTCTTCGGTTGGTAAATTGGCTTCAATTCTTGTTTTGCCGATGGTTGCTTTGTAAATAAGTTATCGAGTTACAAATGCACTTCTCCGTGAATATCTTCAAAAGAAACTGGTGCGATCTGAATGAAAATCGTTTTCATCCTGAGAAGTTCATGTTTTCTTTGTTACACACATGCGAAAGGCCCCAATGTTTTCCTCTACACACTCTCCGACACTTTGAATGTGTGCTCATTCGATGAGTTTTTGAATATGATTTTCAGATGGAGAGAAGACTTTTCCGTTTACAGTTTGACTTCGGGTTTGTTTTCTGCTTATATATCATTTACTATATAAGATTATATGTTGCATGTATGTGATGCACAATTTTTCATCTGTTTCATGTCGGCAACCGCATTGGGTTCAGACTTATCCTATTTTTACCATCGTAATCTTTTAACAATCTCAAAAAGAAGTTTCTTTCTGCTACATCTACAAGGCACTAGTTAAACTATCCGCTGTCGTGCACGGAGTATACATACACATACGAATGACTATATAAGAACGTCGAGTTGCGTAACCAATGACGGCAGCGCATTTCTCGATCAGCGTACACACGATTGAAACACCTTTGGTGACAATATGGCGTTTTACTGAATGCGAAATATTCTGTTCATTATGCCACTATTCGGTCAGTTCTGCTTTATGGTTGTGAGATCTTGAATCTGCTAGTAGATGACTTCAACCGGTTAGGAGTTTTCGACAATCGATTCTTACATAGTTCGGCCCTGGTGGGATGGAGTGAGCCGATTACTAACCTGGGGATAGGTGGTCGTGTGTTTGGAAATTTTATCGAGAAAAAATCTGCGATCAATTCGAATCCATCTTTGTGGGTTTCCCTGGTTTGGACACCTTGAGCGTGCCTAAAAGTAACCTACCGCACCGTGTCTTATTTGAAGTTGTTGCTCCGAGCTAGGAAAAATACAGCTGGAGTTCAACAGACAAGGCATAAAGACGTTCACAGATAGGTTAGGTGGGGTAGGTGTACCGTCTTCTAGGTTGGGATAAAAAACTCCGTAACTGTTCATTGGAGACACCAACGGATGTAACAGCGAATCGGAAGCTGTGGTGTTCTTGTTGCCACTTATCGGATCAGAATGCTCGACAAAATGTTAAATTGCTTGCTCTATGTTGACCATAGGGGTTCGATTTATTTCCCCTTCTTCGGAAACGATCTGATCTCTGTCCACCTTACATATTCTCACTTAACTTGAACGCGTTTTGAGCCGAACAGCGATCGTTGTCGTTTACTTCACTGTATTCCGCTATGCAATGATGAACCTAGAGAGAAAGCCAAACTAATCGCTTGAGTCGACACATCTACATCGCCTTTCAAAAGTAATGAAACAAATAGCCGATTTCTTTCGGAGCAGACGACCTTTGGCGGTCGCGAATCAATGACGCGATGTGTTTGTCTATTCTGATCTCGGCATTTGTGCTTCGGCGTCACTGTACTTGACATGTTTGGATAACATGGCAATTTTTCCTTTTCCATGACTATCCCCAGTTTGAGAGTGCGTCACCATAAATCGTTGATTTCTGCTGAGTACCTTGAACGTTAGCGTTCCATACACAATAGCTGGTGGCGAGATCGTTGCAGATAGTGATCCGATTGCGGTTTCATTGCCGGACTGAGTAGAACAAGTATGCACGCTCCAAATCCAACTTCACCTTTTTCATCTGTTTAAGTTGCCCCCCCCCCCCGGNGCATTGAGGAATATTAGGTTCCAATAACTCAGTGGTTGGGTTCTATGGGATGTAACAAAGCCATTGTAGGCGGCCGTAAATTTTCGGTCTTAACGCATCACGACAGGGAGAAGGTGGAGTCTTGTCCACAAACTGATGTCTTTACACATCCATAGTTCTTGTCTTGCTTGTGAGACTTCCGTTCGTGCGCCTTCGATTCAATGAATTATCTCGCCTCTTGTTTGGATGTTATAAAGTCTAAAAACGTAGATATTTTCGTTAGAATCATAATTCGCAATCTTTGGTACTCCGGGTTTATATACTTCGACAACATTTGATGCCCTTATCTATAATCTGATTCTTACAAAGGTTTGTGTGAGGTTGAGAATCAGCAGCAGAACAATGGGCGAATACTACGATTTCTGAAAGTTTTGATATAAAATCCAAGCAGTAGAACATCCCAGTACTAGTAGTAGTTAGCGAGCGCTGGTCTGGATTACAATAACCCCTGTTTCGTTCAAAACCTTAACACGCTGACGTAAGGATCATGTCATTTATGTCATCTGGCGATAAGTGAGCTAATATGATAACAAACCAGAAGTTCAGAGGTTTTTCGCTTTAATGTATGTTTTCGGAATGATCTTTAACGCGGAACTGCTCGCAAAATTCAGCTCAGCATAAGTCTCTTCACGATTAATATGCCTAGCAGTTTATCTATAATTATTTTAATCAATGTTCTTTGTTATGTTGGTTTCGTTTATCCTGTGGGGCATCATCAACATATGCAACCGTCAGGCTCGGTCAGTGGGCATCATGGTCGTCACTGGGAACTTCAATGCTCAAATGGGATCCCCGAATGAATCACAAAGGTTTCTCGGTGGTACTCATGCAATCCTAGCCAACCTGACGGACACCGGAGAACGCCTGCTCTAAATCTGCGCTGACTATGGACTGTTTCTGCCAAGCACCAATATCTCGCACAAGAAACGACACCACCTTACATGGAATCTAATAACCTCTCTGCAGCGATGGACTCAAATCAACCACATCGCCACCAGCTGCCGCTAACGAGGATCCATTTAAGACTGTCGCCCTTACTGGTCCACGCTCGNCGATCATGCCCTGCTACGAGCCATACTCTCCCTACATCAGGTAAACAACCACAGGAAACCACCGGATGCGGATGTCCACAGTACTACGTCAGCGATAATTGCAAATCAGCCTTCGAAGCGGATCTATCTGATCGCCTTTCAGCTCAACCATCAACCAAAAAAAACTCAGTGAACACTAGACAGTAATCAGAGAAGCGATCCAAATATCACTACACAACTAAGTATTCGGGCGCACAATCAAAACAAAAATGATGGATCTCCTCGACCTCGGTTGTCCTGCTGGATGCTCTCGCGGCCATTCCTTCTGATGCAAAATACGACACAGCCCACAAATCCACTGAACGACAGCTCTGCGAGAGTCTGAGGAATGACCGCGAAAAATGGTGAATGTAGAAGTGTAGAGAGATAGAGAAGGCTACGACTGTCGGTAATAGTTGCAAACTTTTTCGTTTAATTAAGAGTGCGGGTCCAAGGAAAGTTGGCATAGGTGAAGTAATTTTGGAGTCTGAAGGCACACTGATTCATATTCAGCAACGCCATTTTGAACGACGGTCATAACATCTCAGTGCACAGTTCAGATGGCCCCCGTTGTCACAGGACTTCCTTATACTTGCTTCAGCTGACTTTAGTCCTCCATCTGAAATGGAGGTCACCCGGGAAATCAGTCATCTCAAAAGGTATATGATCTCCGGCCCGGACAAGCTGTTCCCATCGGTTTTTAATAGTGGAGGTTCAGCCTTGGTCTTGGAGTTCATAAAACTCCTGAGAATATTATGGGAAAAGTAACAGGTTCCAACGGACCGTTGTGAATCGTTCATCATCTCAATTTACAAGAAAGGTGACAGATCCTCTGGTGGAAACCATAGCGTAATTAATTTAAACAACATTGTCTCTAAGCTTCTCGTTGGTGTTGTACTCCGTCGATTGTCTGCCGCACGTGAACGGTGCACGCGTGAAAAACAAGCTGGTTTTAGACCTGGTTGAGGATTTATAGACCACATCTTCATTCTAGAACACACACTTCTTTTATTAAACCCCCTATCTATTTCTCGATCTGAGAGCGGCTTTCCCCTCTGGCGCTGCCTCGCTCTGAAAGCTGTGCTCCAGAATTTAATTTCAATTTTGCGATGTCTTTATACCAACAGCGGAGTTCGAGCTAATAGCGCTTTCACCCGAGTTCACTACGAAAAGTGGTGTTCGTCAGGGTTGCCCTCTCTTTTCTTTCCCATGTAACTTCGTCATAGATTTAATTATTATCATCATGGTGTCGTCATCGATTTGCTATGGAGTATGCTGACAGCATTGTGCTGTTAAGTGAAGATTCAGGTGAGTTAAAAGCTTTTCTGGATAGTTTGAATGTTAGTGTATGTATGTTTGGCATGTGTTTTACACCTTCAAAGTGTAGAATGCTGCTACAAGATTGGGTTGGTCCAGCCGCCAACCTCGCCCTGATTGGGGATGTAGTAGAGACTGCATGTACTTCAGCCCTGTTGAAGGTCTTTGAAAGAGTGCTGTTGAACTGTTTGACTACTCTCTCTGATGTTTTTGATCCTCTTCAGTTTGTTTATAAGAAACCCCTTTCGACTGTTGACGCTGTGGCCTATGTTGTCCATTCCGTGACCTCATTTCTTTATAAGAGTGTTGGAACTGTTCGCCTTATTTTTCTGAACTTCGCCAACGCCTTTATTTCGCTTGACCGTCGCATTCCCATTCAACGTCTTGCTGACTGCGGTTTAAAATCCGACGTGTTAAACGCTGTTATCAACTACTTTTCTTTTAGGACACAATTTACCTCATAAAACGTCGTCGTCTTATGTCAACTCTGGTGTCTTCCAGGGCGCCATTTTTTCTCCCTTCTCTTTTCCCTGTACATAAACCACTTGACTGTCCCCACCAACTTTATTGCCTGTATGTATGCGGACGATGTGGTGATTGGGTGTCCCTACAGTACTGATGCTTCCTTCCGCTAACTTCAAAGCAGTCTGAATGACGTTTTAAGTTGGTCTCTACTTCGATCACTCTT